CGAAGAAAGTGATAGCTAACCTCAATATGTTTTGTCCGATCATGGAAAACATCGTTGGCGGCAATGTATAACGCCGCTTGACTGTCACAATGAAGAAGCATTGTGTCGGGATGTGTAACACCGAGGCATTTGAGTAGCGCCTTTAGCCATATTAACTCACATGTTGTTACTGTCATTGTGCGGTACTCAGTCTCTGCCGAGGATAGAGACACTGTCGGTTGCCGCTTTGAGCGCCAGGAAATCGGGGAGGAGCCAAGTTGAATAAGGTAGCCAGAGAGCGAGCGGCGGGAATGAGGATCTCCAGCCCAGTCAGAATCGCACCAACCGTATAGCCGCAAATCCGAATCCAATCGTAAGATGATGCCTTGCCCTGGATTAAGCTTGAGATAACGGACCACACGTAGGGCAGCGACCCAATGCTCTTGGCGAGGTGTCTGCATGAACTGAGATAACACGTGAACAACGTAAGTAATGTCGGGGCGTGTAGCCAGTAGATATAATAGCTTTCCGACTAGCCGGCGATATGGTTCTGGATTGGTGAGAGGATCTGATGCCGAGATGCTCAAGCGATGATTCTGTTCAAGAGGAAACATAGCAGGTTTCGCAACCAATAAACATGTCTCAACAATAAGATCTAGTGTGTATTTCCGCTGGCATAGGTAGAATCTCGACGAATTTCGTGCAACCTCAATGCCCAGAAAATATTTCAGCTCGCCAAGATCCTTCATTTTGAAACAACGACTGAGATAAGTCTTGAATGCAAGCATGGATTGCTGGGAATTGCCGGTAATGAGCAGATCGTCTACATATACGAGGACATGAAGCCGAGTTGTGCCACTGTTAAAAATGAACAAAGAGTGATCAGATTCCGTTTGAACAAAACCATACTGAGTAAGGGCTTCCGTAAGCTTAGCAAACCAACATCTAGGGGCCTGTTTAAGGCCATAGAGGGACTTCGGAGACGGCACACAATGTTCGGGTGCGGCACAACAAATCCGGGTGGAGGTTTCATGTACACTTCTTCATGTAAATCGCCGTGTAGGAACGCGTTGTGGACATCTATTTGATGGACGTCCCAATGACGGGCTGCTGCAACGGCAAGGAACGCGCGTACGATGACCATCTTTTCCACCGGAGCGAAAGTATCATCATAATCGACGCCTTCGGTTTGCCGATTGCCGAGAATTACTAACCGAGCTTTGTGTCTCTCCACACTGCCATCAGATTTGAATTTGGTTCGGTAGATCCACTTGCACCCAATAGCTTTCTTATTCGCAGGCAAAACTTTAAGATTCCAAGTTCGATTTTGTTCGAGAGCAGCAAGTTCGGCCGACATAGCTTCCTGCCATTTCACGTCGTTGCTAGCTTCAGAAAAGGATCGAGGCTCAAAATTCCCTGATATCTTTTCAAGATAAACAACATGTTTAGGAAGAAGTCTGTGATAGGAAACATAGTTTGCCAATGAATATGGGATTTCCTGTTTCACCGTCACAGAATTTGTCAAATAATCCCTGAGTAACACGTTCTGATATTTGTGCCGGTGGCCACGACCGAGAGCATTAGGAGCAGATTCTGGAGGTTGCACAGACGATGACGAAGAAGTACCAGAATCCGACGTTGCTGGAGAGAGAGCAACAGAGTGACCATCAACGACAGGGGAAGGTGGAGCTGTTCGGGCGGCAGAGTCGGAAAGAGCTGGCTCGAGTTCATGGGAGCATGGCGGAGCCACAAACAGCGGAGGAGAAGAGGGCGTCGGGTGAAAAACATTTATCCTCGTCATGAGGAATCGGTGAATTTTGCGAAGATGAGACCATAGTCGGGACATTTGCAGAGGTTTATGAATACAGAAACTCTGTTTCCATGAAAACAACATCCCGAGAAACAAATAGCTTCTTTGTTTCGGTATTGTAGAGCGTCCACCCCTTCTGACCATATGGATAACCGAGGAAAATACAGCGGGTGCTTCGTGGGGCAAATTTGTCCCGAGTTCGATTTTGATTGTGAGCATAACATAGACTACCGAAAACCCGAAGATGACTGTAGTCTTGACAGCGACCATGGAGAATTTTGTATGGAGTCCGGTTGTCAAGAATCGGTGAGGGTGTCCGATTTATGAGGTATGCAGCTGTCAAGACAGTTTCTCCCCAAAAATCAATATGAAGATGGGCTTGAAAGAGTAATGCTCGAGCCACGTTGAGAATGTGCCGATGTTTTCTTTCAACACGGCCGTTTTGCTGAGGAGTCCCGACACATGACGTCTCATGAATGATGCCTTTCGAAGCAAAAAATGGACGCATACTGATAAATTCAGCACCATTATCAGATTTGATGGTGCGTACAACGGCATTAAACTGGCGTTCAGCCAAAGCAATGAAATCCCGTAGCTTGGTTTGTGTTTCGTGTTTTCCCGTCATTAAGAAAGTCCATGTGCCGCGGGAGAAATCTTCAACAATGGTCAAAAAATACGTTGCGCCGGAGAGGGATGGAGATCTATACGGACCCCATATATCACAATGCACTAAGTCGAAAACAGCAGAAGCCTTATTATTGCTCAATGGAAACGGTGTTTGGGTTTGTTTGGCCCGTAAACAAACATCGTATGAATCTGAAACAGAAGAAGAAAAATTGGAAATATCAAGGTTGGAGATCTTCAACAACGCCTTGGAGGAAGGATGACCCAGCCTTTGATGCCAGAGACCAAAAGATTGTGTCTGCTTCGTCTCAACAGCGTTTGAAGACGCTATCCCTTGGAAATAAAACAGACCAGTACGGTGCTCACCCGCTCCAATCACCGTCTTGGAAGTTCGGTCATGAATCACACATAATGAGGGAGTAAATGTGACGAAGCAATCAATATCATTCATGAGTTGTCCGACAGATATGAGCTGGCAGTGTAGACCCGGAACAAAGAGTACGTTCGAAAGTCGCAGTCTCGGCCCGAGAATAACAGAGCCAGATCGTATGGATACCACGGTTTTGTTGTCGGGCAAAATAACCGAACATGGAGAGATGGAACTGACATTAAGTAGAGCGGACAAATCCCCTGTCATGTGCTGGGAACAACCAGTATCAAGGATCCAAGAGTGTGTCGAACACTTACCAGAGACAGTGTCGGGAGGGCTTACAGCAGATTTACTGAGCAGAGACATTAAACTGGCCCACTGGTCTTGTGTAATGCCGGTGAGAGGAGTGTCTGAATTTGCAGGCACGGAAACCGCAGAGGATGGGGCTGAAATCTGGGTCATGTGAGCGCGAGCAACAGCAGTTCGGGGACGGTCAGATTGCACAGCCCCTCTGCCGCGACCTCTTCCGGACCTGTTTCGTGGGCGCTCTCCCCACCAGTCAGGGAACCCGATGATCTGAAAGCAGGATTCAGCCAAATGCCCAGGCCGGTTGCAATTAGTGCAGAGCGTTTCCTTGTCTTTGTCGTCGGGCTTGAGTCGAGATTGCGAAGTGGAGCGAACCAGAAAAGCTGCAGCTTCAGTTTTCGGCTCGAAAAACTGGACAGCTTGTTTGGCGGCTTCGTCCTGAGAGATCGTATTGTATGCCTCCTCGAGAGATGGAAGCGGTTGCCGAGATAGAAGATTCGATCGAACAGTTGCATATCGAGAATCATCGAGGCCCATCAGAAATTCAAATAATCGGTCTTCATTGCGTTCTTTTTCAAGAACAGAGCTGATATCACAGGTACAACCATTGCATTGGCAATGTTTGAGGTTCCGGAAATTGGCCAAGTCGTCCCAAAGCTTGGTCAATTTTCCGAAATATGCCTCGATTGTCAATCCTTGTTGTCGACAGTTAGCAAGTTCATTGCGGATCGTGAGCAAACGCGGTGCATTGGATCGTCCAAATCTCCGTTTCAAATAATCCCATAAGTCTTGAGCTAACTCTCGATGGACGACATGAGATCAGAGAGGAGCTTCAAGGGTACTGTTCTTAATTCACGAGGCAATCAAGGCATTGTTCGTGTCCCAATCCTCAAAATCGGGATTTGTTTCGGCCGGTTTCGGAATCGTTCCGTCGACAAATCCAAACTTCTTGCGAGATTTGAGAGCTTGGCGGATATTGATGGCCCACTCATCGTAATTCTCTCCACGTAACAATGGTTGGGAGAGAATCAATCCGGGGTTGTCGCTCGGGGTGAGATCATACAGAGAAATCGTGCGCCGTGAAGGCACAGCTCTCATCGTCGGGATTGCGTTCGATGTCGTATTGGAGTCGGGGTTCGAATCGGGGTTCATCATCGGTTCGGTAGACATGAAAAAAAAAATTTAGATCGAGGTGTGTGTTTGGTCGGGCTCTGATACCATGACAAGTATCGGATTGAGCTGAAAAGATTTGCAGAAAAAGCTTGCCTTTGATTAATGAGTTTACAGGGTTTATATACAAAAGTTGCAAACAGAGTACGCAATCCTAAAATAAACAGAACAGGAAACAAAAATCTGTACAAGCTGATATATAGGACTGCTAATGGTAGTTGCTGAGTTTGTGGAAGCACAAACTTTCCCGTATCTTCCAGTATCTTCGTAATAGTTCCTGACTGGTGGGAAGGGAGGTAATTTCTGGATTTATATGATCCATATACAAAGACTGCTTTCGGGCCGAAGGTTTACCTAGTCAGCGCGTCCGAAGAGTAGCAGCTAGGGGTCCTCCGTTATCAAAAAAAAATTCAAAACATTTAAAGTTCATTGAATACAAGATATAAAAGATTTATTGAATATTAGTGCAACTGCGAGTGGAAAGATACTAAAAAATATATAAGGTGTTTCAATTTTAAATATTATGAAAACTATATTGGAACCACTCTATATTTGTTATCTTAAAAATCGTTAGAGATTGGATCACATCTCTACGGGTTTTCAATTTTTTTACATATTATATCCATATATATAGAAAGAAGTTAAAACATAAATAATTCTCTTAGCACAAAAATGTTGCATGCACCGTCGTTGATTAGGTTCGTGGTGCAACCCTTCTCAAGGAATACAAAATCATGCATGAAAATACAAAAATAATATATATTGCAACCTTGGCATACCATGTTTTCTTCCCCTAAAAAAAACATATACTAATTATATTTCCCGATCGTTAATGATATGATAATATTAATTAATCTCTCGGGCTGTCATCATAATAACGGTAACCATAGTTTTTCTCCTCCTCTTGCTGCTGCGGAGGCCGAGCTTGTTGTGACGTCAACGACGACGAAGAAGAAGACGATGACGTCATCATGGAGAAGGGTTGCTGCCCGAAGAGGCTCGGAGTATAATACGACAAATCCACGTCGGTGTTACTTGCAAGAAGCTGAGCGTATTGAAGAATGTCTTGGTTGTAAGACTCATGCGTTGTCGTCGCAGGCCAAGAATAAGAAGACGGGCCAACCGGCAGCGCGTGCGCGTCACTCGCCACCATGGTCGGAGTGGCGGTTGCAGCAGTGCGGGGTGCCACGTGGCCTGCGGTGGAGGTGTGGCCTTGGACACGTTCGGGGAAGTTGAGCTTGGCCTTTGTGCCTTTGAATTTGAGGGCTGCTCGGTCGTAGGCCAATGCTGCATCTTCTGCGGTCTCAAACGTTCCGAGCCAAACCCGAGCCGCCTTCTTCGGGTCTCGAATCTCGGCCGCCCATTTGCCCCACGGCCGCTGCCTCACCCCTCTATAGTGTCGTCTTCTTGGTTGATCTTGATGTACATGTAACGAAAAATATATGAATTTTGACGAATTTCTGATAATGAGGAAACTATCCTAATTTCTAATTATGGTCTAAACCTAGAGTTTACTAACGTTATTATGCATGATTTGTAAATTTTAATTATTAGTATCTGTAAACTGTATTATATAGTCCCTTGTACGTGAATGTTATATGGACAAACCGTCTTCCACGATTTTAATAGATAATAGTGAATGAATATGAGACGTTATATATATATATATATATATATATATCATATGGTTGTGAATATAATATGAGGGGAGTAAACAAATGATTCGACCAAAAGAGAGAGTGCATAAAATGATATATACGATACTTCTTTGGTATTAAAAGATAGATTCCCCTTACTAAAAATGATACATTTAAGGTTCAGTTTTCACTCACACATCCGTCACATTTCATGAAACCTACGTGATAAGTTATAATGAAATCTATTTCTGCATCACTCAACCTATTTTAAATGTAATAAAAAAAAATAACTTTATTATTCTATTCAATGCAATCAAATAATAAATGCATTGGCTTTAACAAAAAAAAAATAAATGCAAAGGACAATTATTAAAATAGATTGTACTTAATAACATTTTTAAAAAACACCAAATTAAGATATTTTCAGTACACAAAAATGCCCACAAAAAATAAAGTTATAACGAGCAACGTGTCGGTGATTAAAACTCGACCGTGTAGGTTAGGCACAAAGCCATAAGTGTCAAGTTAAAACATGGGTTTTATATGTATAATATATAGATTTTATGATTTGTATATTGCCCCAATTTGTAATTACATATTATTTAATTATTTTTCAAGAGAGAAGAAGATGAACATGTAAAATTAAAAATGGACGCGGACACGTTGTACCCTGAAAAAAAAAAACCATTTTTAAGGACAGAAGGAAAGTTCTTTACGGAAAGGGAAAGGCAGATGCATTGAACTTCAATTTGTCATTATCCTATTTGCCCAAACCAATCCAAATCCGTAAGTTACACATGGGTTGATTTCTGTCTTCATTTGTTGCTTAATTTATGTTATATATATACACACACACATATATATATATACATACATATGCACATGTATACGCATGTATTCATATGTCTTCTTTCTGGTGGCAAATAGGGGGGGGGGTTATCTAGTATTTTGTGAAAAGATTGGAATACCCATTAGTGAAATCGACCAAGATGTTAATACATAATACTTAACCTTAATTTAACACGTGATATACATGATTATCTCTGCAAGCTAAAACGATTATTTAGATCATGAAAATTTTCGGTGCAACTTGAAAATCACCGAAAATTTCCCTTTCCCCCAAGAAAAAAAGTATATGGAAATCAAAAGCCGCTTTTAGGGTTGGAGAGGCTAGACACACAAGATCCAATTTCCACACGACAATATATAATCATCTGTGTATGTGTGTATATATATATGTGTATAAAGATGTGAGCAATTTAACCTGGGCCTTGTTGAGCTTGATCCGATTGATCAATCTCTTCTTTGACCGGAGGGTCGGAGAGAGCTAAAGGGTTTGACCTTCCCTCGCCGCCGCCTCCGGAGTTCGCCGGAGTCCCGATGACGCGGCTGAGGACGGAGACCATCGCCGACACGTCAGATTCGCTCCACGCGGCGTAATCAGGCAGCTCTTCGTTGGCGTCCTTCTCTTCGGCCGCCGATGCTTCCGGTGGAAGTGGCCTCTTTCCATGCCTTCGATCCACTTTTGCCAAGTAATTAACAACGGATCAAACTGTATATATATATATATTATATGCGTATAAATCTTGAAACAGATTAAAAAAACACGTGTGAGTGCAAGTTTGTGAAGGAGTTAGTTTCGATGAACATTAAATGGGAATTGACTATGACTCAAGGGAGAGTGATTAAGACAGAGAAGGGGATGAACAACTTTGGAGCAAACAAGGGTTTTCTTTGTTTTTAGGTTTTAGGGTGTTGAATTTATGGGCATACAAGGGAAAGGGATATATATATACACACACACACACACTCATATATATATATATATAAAGGTGGGGTGAGAAATGATATCTACAAAATAAAAATTAAGAAATAGAAATATATATTCTCTCTCTCGTTCTTTTTTGTGCTCTATTCTCTTTTGAGAGTTCATGATTTTTTTTTTGTTAAAACAGAGTTTATGATTTTTCGCATGTTGTGACAGTGCTGTTATTATATCCACAAATTGGTAAATATATATCGAAATAATATGTGTCTTCTAATATCTTACCACTCAAATATTTTTTTTATTCATCTAATTAGTCCACAAGAGAGTAGACTTATCACTTATACTACCAAATATATTTTTTTTTAAAAATTACTGATTTTAATGTGAACTAAAACTCCTGTCGAAATTAGAGGTCCTACTACTATTCAACCACTATCACTAAAATCATTTTCAACATTGATTTTTTTTCTTTAGACGAAGGAAATAACCTTTTTTCTTTGAGTATATCAAAACATGTAAACTCGTGTGTGTATATATACACATATACATATACATACATATATATATATATATATATATATATATATATATATTGTACGACAAAAAGAAAGAACATAAAGATTTATATTAAGGTAGGCGCATGCTTTGGAATAATTAAGAAAGTAGATAATTAGCAAGAAATAGAAAACTGAAAAGAAAAAAAGTGATGTGATTCGTTTCGTGGATCCAAAAAGTAAAATAAAAAAAAATATATATATATATATATAAAATCATTCGGGACCCATACAATCAAATCTACAAATTCTCTCTTCCATCTTTCCCTTTTTTGAGAAAACATGCCTTCGTTGGTACCAACTGTATCTTTGCATGCTATCTAAGTAAAATGGTTAAAATTCTACTTTTAGTAAGTTTTGTTGATTAAATTTATATATTTAAATATCATATTATATAATAATCTATTATTAGTTTAAGCTTCAATTATATTCTTAACACACCTGCAAAAATATATACATAATACGTCCTCACTTCACTTCCTTTTTATCCGTGTATTGATCGCTAATATGATTAAATTATTAGATTGGAAATCTAAAGTTAATAAATACAAAAGTAAGAATAGTAAAATATTATAAAAAAAGTATTTCCGTTTTAAAAAACTAAATCAAATTTTAATATATATATAATAGAGAATTGGAAATCAAGCGTAATATCGTCGACGTAGAAATTAAAACACTGATATCATTATCATTATGTTGCGAAGCAAAACAATTTTCTTTCACTAAAAAATGTTACTATGTATTTCATATATTATGTCTTGTATTTATTCTAATTTTAAAGATAGATATCTAATTGAATCATATTTTTAGTTTTGTTGACAATCTCCTTCATAGTTTAATCACCTTTTAAATACTTAATCCGTGTCCTTTTGTTACAAATAAAACCCATGAATTTACAAACAAATTTCCATTTACAGAAGTTTTATAGGGAAAAGGTTATAATAATATTGTTCCCATGTAATTTTTCTATTAAAAAAAAAATGCCTAATTTCATCCTTTCTTACATTATGCTATCTATTTGTACTTTTCCTCATTTCTGCTAGTTTTATTCCATGTTCAGTCAAGTTCAAAACTCGAAACATATTTAATTTTATTTATTTTCGAAAGATACTATGCAGTAAATTGGTCAAAAAGTAATTAAAGAAAATAGAAATAGGTTTTGAGAGGCATTAATTGTTCTTTGAAGTTTGTGATCGCGTTGAAATATATAAACAAAACTTCAAAGATATTTTTGCAACTGGAAACGGAAATTATGATATTTCATAGAAAAACGAAATATAATGTTTGTTGAATAATCATTATTTATAATATAAAATTAAAATTAAAATATGAACGAAAGGAGATAAATTATTTGTTTGAACAATCTTGTCCGAACAACGCAACGCAGATAATCTAGAGATTCGTTCCTTTGAACAATAGGATTTGATGTTACATAAATCAGATCAAATATTTTATCTGTTATACAATTCGAATAAGAAATCATAATAGTTTATTTCTTTCGATATTATTACATAAAAATTATTGAATGTAAATGAATATTATTGATATTCTGATTACTAGTATCGATCGGTAGTATATTTAGCGTACGAATTCAAAATTTGTTATTGACTTAGTCAATTTTCTATTTTTATATGTATAGAATTATACGTACGCCGATACCGTTTCGTTTCAATTACATCGTTATTCGTCGCATTGAAAAAGCTAAAACAATACGCATCGTCGCATCTAATATATCTATATACAAATGGCATGTGTCTTTATTGCGAATCTGTCCTTATCTTATAACACCATGCGATTTTTCTATTAATCTTATCCACATTCTCGAAAAATAAATAAATAAAAATTCCTAAATTCATGGAACATGATTCACACGAACGATAAACTGAAAGTATTAATCTTTTATAATATGCATGGTATTGACCAATGTTTGCATGAGGCTTTTTACCTCTAATCTTTTAATTTAGGAAAATATCTAAACTTGTTCATTTTCACAAAATTTTCGAATTTTATAATTGTCATCATTTTTAAACTTAAATATTGAAATAACGTACCGAAATCCTACATAGCAAGTTAACATTTTGACCATATTTAATATGTCTTTATCCAGATGTCCTGATATCAGTATGACGCGTTATCGATGAATTTAAAAATGATAATTGTTATAAAATTTATATTTATTTATAATTCAAAAATCAAGTTGAAATTTTATTTGACAAAAAATAAAGTTTCTGTTTAATTTTGTAAAATTGACAAGTTAAGGTATTTTTTGAGATTTTTTCTTCAATTTATTATTTTTGACTGAATTTTAGTATCATTTAATTTTTTATACAGTGAAAGGGCACTAGACCATACAAATTTCCCAAGTGTAATTTGATTAATAAATTTTTGAAAATTTTATAGTGAAAAACTAGAGCTAATAGGCTATACAACATAACTGTTCATTATAGTTGTTTAATTTAATAAATTTTTTTTTGTAAATCTTATAATATACCTTATTATCCATTGTAAAATTTCTATTAATCCAACGTGTTAAACGATTAAAAATATAATTGAATAACGAAACAAAATCATATCTTAATCCATTCGGGGAATAAAAATTCTTCAAAGTTTATATGTAGTTTGTGATGTTCTCTAAAACAATATGGCAGAGAATACATTTACGTATGATACAAGAGAATAGATATTATTTTAGTCTATGATTCTCGATCAGATCAATTAAATTAACCATATTAAAATATAATTCACCCTGTCGTTCGCACAAATTACTGTATTTGGCAACAAGGGCAAGTTGATGCGGAGATGCAGACAAACATATTTGCCTTTCATTACAACCCAAAAAAAAAAACATTTTTGCCTTTCGGCGAGTTCAGATGGGCTCTTTTTAAAAGATTGAAAAAAATTATTAAACAAGAAGCAAAAAATGACTGTTTGGGACTCTAGAGAGTAGGATATCAATTTAGATCCGTGGTCAGAAATATGATCTGATCCAACCCGAAAATAGTAGATTTCGGGTCTAAAATTTTTTATCCGAAAAAAATCAAATTTCTGGGTCAAATTCGATTCGGGCTTCAGACTCAATTTGGATTGATCCGAAAGTCCGATAATTTTTTTTAAAAATATTTAAAAAAAGAAAAAATAATAAATTTATAAAAGATTTTGAGCGGATCAGACTGATCCGAACCCGAAATCTATGGAATGAGTTTCGGGTTTGATTATATAGATCCGAAAAAATTAGATCAGTCTGAATCTGAACCCGAAATCCTTAGACCGAATAAAGATGTAAAACCGGATTGACACTCCTATTCACGAGCAGTCTAATGCAATTTCGGTAAAGATGTAAAACGGGCAGGTTCGACTTGATCAGATACGGTTCGGTCTGAGTAAATTCGTTTGGATTCGGCTCATTTGTTTAACCAGAAAAATTTTGGCTCGATTCAAATTATTTCAATTCGCGATATGAAAATAATAAAAATAATTACAAATTATTTTAAATAAAATATTAAAAATATTAAAAAATAACAAAAAATATATATTTAAAAAAAAAAATCCGGCTCGCCAACCGGTTGAGCTTACTTGTGACGAGCTCGACCCGTAAACCCATTTTTTTGGGGTTTATATTTTCTCAACCCAACTCGGTAAAAACGAGCGGCTCATGGACCAAACTCATTTTTACACCTTAAATTCCGGTGATGAAAAGTAAATTAATTAAAACAAGCTTCAATTAAAATATTAACTTCTCCATATTACTATTGTTTTTTTTTTTTGTTAAAAGGCTGTATGTATATATTAAAAAAAGTTTACAAGTGGCCACATAGTGCGGAATACATGTAGTAGTTGACAATTAATGGAATGGAAATGAATGTCAGACTCTAAACAATCCGACAACATCGACGCTAGGAGAACCAGAGTTGAATGCTGGTGCTAGCAAGTTCCGGCCTTTGCGGCCGTAATGAAGCAATTCGCAGTCGGAAAGTACTGTCAACAACCTTCTTGATCGCCGTTGTGTCGGTGTACAAATGCTGATGAAGCCTGGTATTCCTTTCTTTCCAAATTGAGTATGACACAATCTGCCATAATACTAGCAATGTCCACCTTCTGATTTTACATCCTTGCAACCTTCGAAACTCATCAAGTAGGTGTGCCCAGCACATTGACACAGGAGAGAAGCCTATCTTCGACATCGCCCAGGATAGGATTTCCGTGGAGAATGGACAAGTGAATAAAAGATGGTCTCGGTTTTCCGGCGACAAGTTGCAGAGGGCGCATAGTGGATCTGTTTGAATGCCCCAAGCAAGCATGCGGTCCTTGGTCGGGCACCTGTCCAGATCAATCAACCAACACATGAAAGCATGCTTAGGTAAGTGAAACTTGAACCAAATCTGTGATGATCTGATTGTTGTATTTTGGTCGATGAGTGTCTTCCAGATATCCATAGCTCTGAATGATCCA